TAGGGGGATTACTGTTGGTGTTATCAATCACTGATGTTTTGACAATTAAGCAAGAGTGACATCGATGACACCGAGTGAATAATTGCTCGCACCAACCTCGCCCGCAAAACATACGCGTTGTTTTGCAATGAAACTACGTTAATAATGAAAATTTAAAGGAAATTTTTTAACAAGGACACCTCTTGATTTCTCTTCTACAGAGACGAAATCGCATAAAAGGTAAGTCGAGGCAAGATATCTGAAAGCTGAGGCTCTTACAGCTGTTGTGCAGCAGAAGAGGCACACCTTGGCCGCTCGATCAGAGAGGTAGGGCAATATATTATCTACCACTGAATATGTAAATTCCTATTCTGAAATCTGAGTTTTTTAATCCGTAAGTGTGAGGATTGGTCCCTATCATCAATTGTATATGATTTGGCTCTTTACTCAAGAGGGCTGACTTTCTACAATCTTCACTTCATTCGAATGCTGAGGAGAGAAAATATGTTACAGACGTCCTCAAGGTAAATGTGATTATGCCAAAAAATTTTCCCGTAATTGCAAGAAACCAGTCGCATCTACTAATACTTCTCATGAGAAGGAACCAGCGACTGTTTTTGCTGTAATTTCTTACATTCAGGGTGTTGCGGAGCCCAACAAGGGAATTTTGAATAGCGCCAACATTAGAGGAGCTCAAAAACCTTTCAGATGATGGCGGCTTACTACCTGACGCCTATTTGCATCTCGTCAGAAAAAAGGGCAGCTAATCAGTGAGCGTAGAAAAGGACCTCTTTGTGCAACGATCAGGTTATCTCTGATGAAGGCTCTAGACAGGAGTGTCGAAACGTTGGGTCTATGAATTGCAATTTCCTGGTTGCATTTCTTAAATCCTTAAATCCAGAATAGCATCAAACCATGTCTTTTGGTTCTTTTGGGGCACATTATGCGATCAAATGAGCAGGACTTTTCCCATCGTTGAAACTTGATTTTGAGGTATCTTTACTTACAGAATTCGAAGTAAAAGACTCACTTGAGTCGAGAGATCGTACAGACAAAAAAAGGTACTTACAAAAACCGCAACCTTGTGTTGCTGTCAAAGATTCCCAGGGGCAGGTTGTGCAATTGCATTTCAGATAAGAACCTACGTATATTGTGCACGTAGGTAAATATTCCATAGCATATAATACAGCAGCAATACATTAATAAATCACTTATTAGTTAGTTAAGTAAACCTAAACATGTCTTGAATTTGTTGTCAACATTTTTAATTTTAGTCATTGATTTAAACTCAGAAAGAGTAGCCACCAATTTTACAACGGGATTACAGTCAGCAAATTGATGTTCATGTTTTTCGTAATCTATACATGTGACTTAGCGCCCCTTCAATTATCAAAAAAATTGGTTTGGTCTGAATCTTGTCCACAGTTAACTCCAAGATGTCACAACAGATGCAAATGGTTCGTTGTTGGTACTTGTGGGGAATAATAGAAAACGTGCAATTGGAAAATTGTTCTTGCATTATTTTGGTTCTTTTAGTTAGTTCCTTTTAATTTTTAAAATATAACTGCATGGTAATCAGTAGGTGATCCAGACCTTGAGCTGACAGGGGGTGGGGGGGGAGGGTATCGTGTGTGTATTGGCCTGCCAGCTCTTCCTCCTTCTGTGATTTTTTTACTTAAAATAAAGAGGAAGGAAAGGAAGCTGGCCCCTCAGCCCCTCCTCTAGATCCGCCACTGGTGATAAGTTCATTATCAAACTCGTTCTTTTCTGAGAATGTGCAAATGGTGCTTAAAATTGATTATCTACGGACCTTAACACAAATTTGCTTAAACAATTATTTTCCTATTTGTGTTCACTACTTGACAAAAACTATCAGATATCATTACCTTTTTCTAGTAATTAGTTTGTTACTTGTTCATTTTTTATGTTATTTTAAAAGTTAAAAGCGTCAGCAGGTTATAAACAACAAAAACGAATACTCTTGGCGATGTCCTAAATAAAGGAAAAAAAAAATAAAAAGAACCCTACTTACAGCCACTCCAAGAGATAATTTCTACTGAAAATATCTGAAGGCAATTTTTGCAACGGGTTACCGGACAAGTACCTAAAAGAAAAAGAAAAATGTTAAAAGCTTGACAGTAACAAATCAATCACGCTTCTTCTGGTTTAATCCTGATTTCCTAGTACAAAATTTTGCGGTAAATACTTTGAGATATTTTCAATTTGAACAAATGCCACAGAAACAGAATTGTTAACCGCGCCGTCTTGCATAAACTAAGATTAGTGCTACATGTGATAGAAACCTCGTTATTGGTACTTCTGTTCATTTTGCCCTCCTTTATCTTGCATCACACGGTAAAAAAATACAATAGCATCCCCACTTACAGAAAGTGTAGATATCCGTTGTTTCTAAATATGCTTGAGGACAAATTCCTCAGTTTGTTTCCGTCCAGAGTCCTTTGAAAAATTAAATAAAAAAAATCGTTTAGAGCTTTATTAAATACAAATATCTTATTAAAAGTTTCGTTGTGTAGCATCACTGAGTAATTTTACGAGTTGTGCCGTATTTTGACGAGCCCTCGGCACAACTCTGGAGTACAAATATCACGTGATATTCGTGCTCGTCTCGCGCGTTATTTATTATTTAATTATTTTATTACTGGATAATAAAAGAATAGGACTCGTTTAGACTTTCTGATACAATTGCAATCTATTCAAACCACAGTTTTCAATCTTAATCCAGTTTTGTCTCATGTATCGTAAGAGTAAAGGAATTTAACAATT